GTACCAGAGGATGCAGAGTCGCTTCTTCGATGCCCCGTCCTCTTCGCGACCCGCCACCACCTCCCAGTCAAGTGGCACCACTCGAGGCCAGTCCTCTTTCTCCGACCACTTTCGCAGCTCAGCTCAGCCTGGAGCGCCATTCTCTTGGCACCACAATTCCGTTGAGTACAGCGACGACTCTATGGCAGAGGTCGAACCTACCCTTGAGGACGCCCCCGAATACCTGAAACTTCGGGATGGCATCCAATACCACTTGGATGACGAGACTATCCCGATGGCCAACCCCTTGCACATGGCGATGTCCGCCATGGGTTGTGCTTGCAATCGGCTTGCATAGGCTGGCGCCCGCACGTTCACTGTTCCTCAGATAGACCTCCCGCAAGGTGTCGTTCCTCCTCACGAAGCCCCATCCCCTAACCTCCCGCAGGGCGTCGTTCCTCCTCACGAAGCCCCATGCAGAGTCGCTTCTCCGATGCCCCGTCCTTTTCGCGACCCGCCACCACCTCCCAGTCAAGTGGCACCACTCGAGGCCAGTCCTCTTTCTCCAACCGCTTTCGCAGCTCAGCTCAGCCTGGAGCGCCATTCTCTTGGCACCACAATTCCGTTGAGTACAACGACGACTCTATGGCAGAGGTCGAACCTACCCTTGAGGACGCCCCCGAATACCTGAAACTTCGGGATGGCATCCAATACCAGTTGGATGACGAGACTATCCCGATGGCCAACCCCTTGCACATGGCGATGTCCGCCATGGGTTGTGCTTGCAGTCGGCTTGCATAGGCTGGCGCCCGCACGTTCACTGTTCCTCAGGTAGACCTCCCGCAGGGTGTCGTTCCTCCTCACGAAGCCCCATCCCCTCACGAGCGCGCCGCCATCGAGGCCTGCCGCGGTTGCCTCTGCTGCCGCCACGATGAACACACCTCACGGTGTCCATTCCATGTCGCCCTCGTTCGACACTATGTTGACATTTCTCGTTAGTGTTGATCTTAGTCCCCCCCTGGCCCCGCCCCACCAGACCTATCCAGCTAGCCACGACGCAGTGTAACGCTGAGGCCTCGCTCATAGCTGGCTTCCCAACCATTGAATTGTTGTTTGCCCCTTTGCTACCACTCCAGAGGACCCTCGGGACACGACATACACGATTCCCTTTGCATCACCGTCTGTCGAGGTATCGTTTGCCCCACAGCAAACCGCCACATCTAGCCCTTCCCATCTGAGACTTCCGACGCATCGCAACATTCGCATAACTCGCTCACACCACGCCCACAGTTACCCACCCGCCCGCACGCCCACCCATACACACACTCGCCGCTCGCCCACCCACACACACACACACTCGCCGCTCGTCCACCCACACACACACGTGCCCGCCCACACCCACCCACCCACTCACCTGGGCGGGCACACACACACCCAGTAACGCTCACCTGGCGACTCGCGATGACGTTGTGTCATCTCTCCTGGATTTGAGCATTCTTCAGGCTCGTCAGGAGTGACTCACGAGTCACGTAAACGTCCTGTGTCGTCTTCCCGCTCTGCTCTCTGACCCTGATCACACGCTCCCCATTATTCCCATTTGTCTGGGGACATCTATGAGGGTGTACCGCACTTTATGGGACTCCAGCTCGCAAGGGAATTCATCTCACCCTCGCATGGTTGACGAAGCTCGTCTAGCTACCTCCGGGTCTCGCTCTCCTATCTCTGTTAACCTCGCACATAGCAAGACGCAACACTTCTTCGATCAGACGATCCCCGACCTCCACTTTTCCCTCACTCTCCAGCCATCAGATAATACCTAGGCACCTTCGCACTACCATTCCTCCGCATACTTCAACATGTTGGAGATTGGGTACGACTTTATCCTTGGCACTCCTTAGTTTCGCAACTTCTGTGGCACAGAGGCCGAATGGGCGACCGAGGCACTCGTTCTCAAAACGAAGTGTGGCCAAACCTATCGAGTCCCCTTCCTTGGCACCACAGACGACACCTCTCCCAACCTACCTTCCCAGTACCCGAAACCACTCGAACATTGCCTTCGCCACCCCTCGCCAGTTCGCCCACTTGCTTCGTTAGGAGGACATCACCCTCTACCAGTGAACATCATGGATCTTCTTCAGCACGATCCCCTCTGTACAAACGATGAGCTTATCTCCTTAGAGCACAATCCCCCTGCCCCTCCTTCCATTTTTGCGGCTCCCATCTCTACATCCACCCGACAGACTGCGGATACCCCTTCGACATCCTAGGTTCCTCTGCCGTCCACAGGCAAGTTCACACATACATCTCGTGTTGACGCAGACGCTGAGGAACTCGTGCAGCTCACGACCGACTTAGAACCCACCGTTCGCGACCTGATTTGAGAGTACTGCAACGTCTTTCCCCCGTATTACTCATAGAGCGGGATCCCTCGGATGCCCGATGTTGAGGATTTTATCCAGCTTGTGCCACACTATCGTGTCCACCATCAAACACCCTATATACTCTCGATTCCGGAGTCGACGAAACTCGAGTGTCAGCTTGAGGAGTTCCTTTGACTGGGTTTCATTAAACCCAATAACTTCCCCTATGATGCACCCGTCCTCTTTGCATGCAAGAGTGGATGGAACCCTCTGCCTCTGCATTGATTATCGCGGCCTTAAACATTCCATGGTTGAGAACAGCTATCCCATGCCTCATGCAGATGAGTTGTTTGACCGTCTAGCAAACAACCGTTTCTTCACGAAGATCGATCTTCGTAATAGTTACCACCCGATCCACGTTGCTAGAGAGGGTGATGCCATCCCGCCTCACCAATGCACCCGCCACCTTCCAAACGACAATGAACGATATCTTCAGGGACATCCTTGAAGAATATGTTTTCGTATACCTGGACAACATCTTGGTGTACAGTCATACCTTAGAAGACAATCTCAGACACCTCCGCGATGTCCTACAACGCTTACGCACGCATGGCTTCCATGCCAAGCTCAGCAAGTGTTGCTTTGCCCAACGCAAAGTGGACTTTCTAGGACACCATGTTTCTGACCAGGGTCTCCACATGGACGATGCGAAGATCACTGCTATTACGGACTGGCCCGTCCCCACATCCGTCAAGCAGCTTCGCAGTTTCCTAGACCTTGCTAATTACTATAGTAATTGCATTTGAGGATATGCTAGGTATTCCTACATCCTTGCCTCTACCCTTCTCCGCAAGAACCCGCAATTGTTTTGGACACCCCTTTGCGAGGATGGTTTTCCTGCCCTTAGAAGGCGGTGACTTGTGCGCCAGTTCTTCGCCTCCCTGCTTTCGATCACCCCTTCATGGTCACCAATGATGCGTCAGATTTTGCAGTGGGAGTTATACTTTCCCAGATGTTTCTCACTCCTCTTGATTCTCCTTATCCTCATGTTCCCTACTTCTTCCCCTCCCCACCCCCCCCTCCTGCTGACAGTTCTTGACTTGCGCCTATCTTTCCACCACTTCCCTCCACTGACAGTCTCTTGTCACTTACTCCTCAACCATCGTCGATGATGTGACCGTTGAGGGGATTGCTCGTTTGCCTTTTACTCCCGTCGGCTGCCATCTTCCGAGATAAACTACACTGCCAATGAACGTGAGGTTCTCGCAGTAGTTTATGCTACCTGGCACCTATGAATCCCCTTAGGCGGCGGACAATCGCGACCAAGTCCGCGGCCGCGGCCTGGCCCGCGGACGTGTCCGCGCGGACGCGCGGCTTTGCGGCCACGTGGCGGCCAGTAGGGAGGGGGGTTGGGGAAACAGGAAGCGTGATGGGGCGGCACAACCCCGGCCCACCCCCTCAAACAAAAAAACACGAAAAGAAACAAAGTTTTGGTTGGGGGGGTTGGCTGGATCACGGCGAAAATTGTAACACAAAAAAAAAACGCGTTTTTTTTTTCTTTTTTTTCTTTGATTGATTGATTGATTGATTGATTGATTGATTGATTGATTAATTTCTTTGAATTTGTTTATTTATTTATTTATTGATTGTTTGATTGATTGATTGATTGATTGATTGACTGATTGATTGATTGATTGGCTGGTGGGGGAGGGGTCGCCCCACCTCGCGATTGATCGATTAATTGATTGATTGATTGATTGATTGATTGATTGATTGATTGGTGGGGGAGGGGCCGTCCCACCCCCCCCGCCACCGACCACACGTGCGCGCGAACACACACACACACACACACACACACACACACACACACACACACACACACACACCCCCACGCACGCACGCACGCACACTCTCACAATCAATCAATCAATACATCAAACCCCTTTTCCTTTATGTGTTTTCAATGTTTGCATATACCCCTGCAAAAAACAGATATTCATTTCCAAAAAAATACAGGTAAACTCAGGGACCATGTATCTCATTATAAAAAATTGCAAAAAAAAATTCCTGCTTTTCTTTATATATATATATATATTTTCTTTAAATCAAATTTAGTTTTTGAATTTTAAAAAATCCTAAACAAAATCAGATTCCAAAAATAAAAATATGGGGTTGCAGGGCTTAAAATTCCCTACAACCCCTTTTTTTTTTTTT